AATATTTAAAAATAAATAAATAAATAAATAAAGCAAAGAAAAAGGTGGCCCTGGAGCCACAGCAGTGGGGAGGAGGAGCCCTGTGGCTGGAGTAGAGGGAGCAGGGGAGGCGGGAGGAGGTCTTTGTTTTTGAGACAGGGTCCCTCTGTGTAGTACAGGCTGGCTTCGAACTCTTGGCTATCTTCCTGCCTCCACTTCTTGTGTGCCGGGATGGCAGGGGTGTGTCACCATGCCCCGCCTCAGTTTTTTTCATTTAGAAAAATTTGGTGCAGGTGTGCACATGCCCACATGGCCATGCGCACCTGTGCATGAGTGTGCATGTGTGTGCGTGTTTGTGCATGAGTGTGTGTGTATGTGTGCATGCATTCGGGCCCTGAGATCATTGTGGCAGGCTTTAGTAAATGACCTCACCCCCAAATGCCTGCCACCTTCTTCCCAATTTGGGTGGAAATGCAGAGGTTGTCTGAAACATGCCGCGTGGCCTCCCTGGGCTTTGGTTCACCCAGCTGTACCACAAAGACAAATGCAAGCACAAACAGAGCGGTTCCAGGGGGCGGCGTGCCCCTGTAGTCCACCCAGGATCTCTTTTGTCCGCAGACACTCTTTGCCCAAATCAAATGATGTCAAGGTTCTAAAACAGACATAGCTTTTATTTTGGGAGGGGACAGTTTAACCTACAGCACTCTCTTATAAGAAGTGATTGAAATTGTATGAAGAGTGTTTACATTTTAAAATGTCTTGCAATAAAGGCCGCATTCTCATGAGCCTCCTCAAACTCCTCCCCTCTCCAGACATGCTGATCCCATGCTCTCGCCCCTTTCTGCAGCAGCTCTGGAGTCCTCTTTCCTGGGGGTCTTTATGAGGTGTGATCAAAAAGATGGTGAACGCTGCTGCCGAGCACCAGATGTGAACAGCAGCTCGTAAACCTGTGATGCTGAGTCCTCCTTAGTCACCAATCTGGTACTGTGGGACTTCTACACCTTCCCCAAAGCCCACGAAAGGGGAGCACTTTGAATCCACTCAGGACATCAGGAGAGCATGGTTACAGACACTCAGGAAGGAGGACTCCAGCGCTGCTGCAGAAAGGGGGGAGGATGACCGGATGGGTGTGCTGGGGTCTGAGGGGGTGTTCATGAGAATGTCGCTGTATTTTTTCCATTGCATCTGCTAGGCCCGCCCTCTCAGCAAGGCCCCAGAAACCCCTCTCCCCACTGTCTCCTACCTGTGTGTCCCTTCCTGTTCATCTCCCTTCCAGTTCAGGCTTTGAGAGTGGCCGAGTGTCATTCATGGGTGAGATGGGCGAGGATCCTCATGTTGGAACTGCCCCGTCTGCCCGCATGCCCACTTCCCGGGGAACCCCCAGGCTCGGCCAGCAGGTCTGTGCCCTGTCATCCTGGGATAGCTGTGTGGGGGAGGGCTGGCACCAGGTTTCTCCGGGCCTGGGCTGGGATGAGCGGACGCCTCCGCCCCGAGACAGGCTCTACGGTCCCTTCACCCTAGCCCAGTCCCTTTCTGCCCCGTGGCACCCCAAATATCCCAGGGAAAGCACCTGGGAGAGACTCGAACCTCAAAAGGTATCCCATCCAGCTGGCTATTAGCATTCAAACCCTGGATTGTGGGGAGTGGGGTGGGGAGTGGGCGCCTGTGACCCCAGCACTCGGGACGCTGAGGCAGGAGGTTCGCTGTGAGTTTAAGGCCAGCCTGGGCTACACAGGGAGACCCCGTCTCAAAAAGACAGACATTAATTCTCTCACGGTTCCGGGGCTGGAAGGCTAAAGCGAGGGCGTGGGCTAGAGCCGGCTGGACTCTCTGAGACCGTGGGGACGATTTGTTCCCCAGCCCTCGGAGGCCTCTGGGGTTCCTCGGCTTGTACCGACGTCGCCCCAGCGCTGCCCCGCAGAGGCGTCCCGAGCAGCTCCCGAGTGCTTCAGCACCAGGGACAGCGGCGCTGGCTGGGTGGGCTCGCCCCGCCTCGGCGTCCTCTCCGAGCTCCCAGCCCCCGCCGCGGTGCGGCTTCAAGGTCGCCTCAGGGGCCTGGCGCTGCCGTCCGGGCCTCGCCCTCCAAGTCCCACAGACCAGGACACGTTGTGAGCGAAAGAAAGACCATAGGAGGGAGGGCGGGCTTCGCCCCTGCTGTACAGCTGCTTGAAGCCAATCGGCCAGTTTCTCACCGATATTAAGACCCCTGTCTCAAGGTGGCTCCTGTCCCTGAAAACTGTGGGGAGTAAAATTTAGAAAATAGAAACCCTAAGAAGAGAGAAGACAGGTGCAGTGCTGCACGCCTGTCACCCCGGCACTCTGGGAGGCTGAGCAGGAGGATCACAAGTTCGAGCCCAGCCTGGCAGCTTAGCGAGGTAGGGAGACCAGGTCTCTAAATACAAAATAACAAGTGTCTGCCTGGCAAGCGTAAGGTCCTGAGTTTGATCCCCGGTACAAAAGAAAAGAAGAAGAGGAGGAGGAAGAGGAAGAGGAAGAGGAAGAAGAAGGTTCTGAGGGTGCATTCAGTGTGGGGCTCTGGTCCTTTTTCCAGTGCGGTGAAGAAAGAGGAGGGGGAGGAGGAGGAAAGAACAAGCTGAAGAACAGTAGATGTTCGTACCCCATCTACCCCCTTTGGGTAGAATCCACACACAGAATCTCTAAGGAGCTCAAGCATCAGCTGTCTGATGTTGTTTTTGATGCACAAGGTGTTACTATGTAGTCCAGGCCATGCTTGAACTCATGATCTTCCTGCCTTTATTTATTTATTTTTCTGTATTTAAGTCTCACTATGTAGATCAGACTCAGTGATCTTCCTGTTTTCAGCCTTCCAAGAGCTGGGATTACAGGCATGCGCCACCACGCCCAGCTTTAATTGTTGTCTCAGGGCGCCCCGGGGGTGGGGCTGTCAGGCCGCTGCACTCTACCTAAGCAGGTGCTTTAGTCTACAAGTTATCAGGCCAGCACTTCTTCCTGCCTTTATCAACTGTAATTTTTTTAAAAAATCTTTGGAGCCGGGGAGATGGCTCAGTGGAATAAGTGCTTCCCTGGCAAGCACAAGAGCCTGAGTTCAATCCCCAGTTCCGCCAAAAAAAAATAAAAAATAAAAAAAATCTTTGTCTTTTTTAGACAGGGTCTCACTATGCAGTTCAGACTGGCCTCGAGCTCACTTTGTAGCCCAGGTGAGTCTCGAACTTGCAGTGATCCTCCGCCTCAGCCTCCTGAGTGCTGGGATTAGAGGCCCGTGCTGCCACACCCAGCCTCTGGCCATAATTTTTTTTTAAATTTTATTTATTTACGTGTGTGTGTGTGTGTGTGTGTGTGGCCAGCTCAGCCCACCAGGGGGCAGGGCTGGCTGGCATGTGGTGCTGGGGGATTGAACCGCAGTCCCTGTGCTTTGCTAAGCTTGTTCTAAGTAGGTGCTTTAGACCACAGAGCCATTTCACCAGCCCCATAATTTTTATTGTGGTAAAATATATACAACATAACATTTATCAATTTAACGTTTTTTCCCCTTTGGTACTAGAAATGGAACCCAGGACCTCTGAACTCAGCTCCATCCCCAACCTTTTGTTTTTAAGTTTTGAAACAAGGTCTTGCTAAGTTACTCAGTTGCCCAGACCAGACTCAAATTTGTGATCCTCCCGCCTCAGCCTCCCAGCGGGCTGGCCCTGTAGGTGGGCACCATGGTTCTGAAGCATTTCTAAGTGCACAGCTCACTTTTTGCACTTCGTGCATCGACCTGGCTGCCTGCCATCCTTGCCATCCACTTCCTGGCCTCTCCCATCCCCATCCAACCTCTGTCCCCAGGAAATGCTGTTCCCAGCCCTTCCCTGGGCCCTCCTGGGGGTGGGACCCTGCGGTGCATCCTTCTATGCCTGGCCTGGTTCCCTGAGCAGCACAGCCTCAAGATCCATCCTAGGTGTAGCAGTATCAGGACTTTGATCTTTTTCCTGACACAGTAATATTCTACCATGTGGACTGCTGTGTGCACCCATCTGTTATTGATGGACATGGGACAGTTCCCACCTCTGGTCACCAGGGGTCGTGGTGCTGTGACGTGGCTGTGCAGGCTCCCTTTAACCCTGTTTTTCTTTCCCACCCCAGGCTGTGCCTTCCTGACCTACTGTGCCAGGGACTCTGCCATCAAAGCTCAGACTGCCCTGCACGAGCAGAAGACCTTGCCTGGGGTGAGTTCTGTGTGGTGGGACGGAGGGGGATGCAGGGGTTGCTCTTGGCCTGGGGCCCAGCCCTTCCTGGGATTGGCTGCAACCCATGTGCCTGTTTCTGGACTCAGTGGTATAAGAGGCAGAGGGGTGGAGGGGCAGACGTCTCCAGGGTGAGCATACACACTGCTTGTGCTGTGCTGCAGACTTCGCAGTGGGGTGGGCGGCTGTGTATGGTCGTTCAGGTTGTATACTGCACAAGCCTGCCGGGCCCAGAGCTCCTGTGTCTTTGGGCAGAGACCTGGAGGATAAGAACATGTCGTCAGGCAGTGGCAGAGCCGTGCGAAGGTCCTGGGGCAGGACAGAGCCCAGCTCACTGCAGGAGCAGCCAGGAGGCCTGTGCGGCTGGACCAGAGGGAGCCGGGGCAGAGAAGGAGGAGGGCAGGCCGGGAGGGCACGGGAGGGTCGTGCAGGGGTGCAACTTCTGGGGACACGAGCTCCGTCTTCAGTTTGTTTCAGCTCTCAACAAGTAACAAAAGGGGCTGGTGAGATGGCTCAGTGGTCTAAAGCACCTACTTAGAACAAGCTATGCTAAGCAAAGCACAGGGACCACGGTTCAATCCCCCAGCACCACATGCCAGCCAGCCCCGCCCCCTGGTGGGCTGAGCTGGCCACACACACACACATAAATAAATAAATAAATAAATAAATTAAAAAAAGAAACAAGTAACAAAAATGCTGGATTGGGGTCTCGGCCCCACCATGAAGAATGAAAAGCCCCTCTTGGCGGTGCACTGTGGCTTAGGCAGCGATGTACACACGGCTCCCACCCATCCTGGCTGTGTGACAGTGAGTCAGTGACCTAACCTCTCTGGTCCTCACACTAGAAGCGTGCCACAGGGCACCGTGGTGGTCAACCCCACAAAGAAGGGAATCACAGGGGGCTGGGGTGCCAGGCTGATATTTGAGAGAAAACCAGAACCATGATGTATCAGTGATGTCCTGGTCCTTCGGTGCTGGAACACTTGAGGCTGGGGATCTGAGAAAAGAGAGAAGCATAGCAAGCTGATGGTTCTGGGGGCTCCTGGGCATGGCACCACCAGCAGCCCACCTCTGGAGAGGACCCCACAGCAGACACATCACAGCACAGAGTGTGAGAGGGTGGGGTCACACAGTGGGGGGGGGACAGTCCCCCTCCAGTTATTTATTTATTTATCTTCTGCAGTACTGGAATTAAACTCAGGGCCTTTATACTGAGTTACATCTCCAACTCTTTTTTTTTTTTTTTTTTTTGACAGAACAGGGAATTGAACTCAGGCCCTTGCGCTTGCTAGGGAAACGCTTATTCCACTGAGCCATCTCCCTGGTCCCAAAATTGTTTTTAAATTTTTTTTTTCCGGTACTGGGGATTGAACTCAGGATCCTGTGCTTGCCAGGCAAACGCTTATTCCACTGAGCTATCTTCCCGGGCTGGGCCAACTTTTTTTAATTTTAATTTTTTAATTTTGACACAAGGGCTCACTAACTTGCTAAGTTGCCCAGGCTGGGCTAGAACTTGGCTTCCTCCTGCCTCAGACTCCAGATGACAGCCCCCCCCCCCCACCAAGCTGGGCTCATTCCATTTACAACTCATCCTCCCCAAGGTTAAGACCTGGAGGCCACGCCCTCATGAACTAAACTCCTCCCTCTAGGTCCCGCCTCTTAAAGGTTCCACCGCCTCTCAACACGGCCACGTGAGAACCACGCTTCTGGCCCTTGACCCTTGGGGGCCACACCCTGTGCAACCCCTACGGGTGGGAGAGAGCAAGCCATCTCAGGCACAGGCAACAGCGCTGTGGACGGAATGTAAAGTCCCAAGTCCACCTTTGTCCCAGCCCACTGCAGCGCCCCTTCTCCAAGCAGCTGAACCAGGCAGGCGGGCGGGCGGGCAGCCCATGCAGCCAGCACCAGCGACTCTGTGTCCTAAGGTCTCAGGGCTGCGACAGCACCAAGAGCTGCACGGAAGTCACCCTCTGCTGGGGACATTGTGCAGCTGCCGTGAGCCAGGAGCGGGAATGAGGCTACAGCACCATCCTGCCTCAGAGTCAGCCGAGGCCTCAGCGGGGCGTGACTGTGGCGTGACTCCGTGTCTCAGCGCCTTCCCGTGGCTGCCGGAAGGTGGCCTCGGTCCCCTCGGTCTCCATCACCCATCTCCATAAGGCTGCTTAGGGTGCGTATACCTGGAGCTGGGACCCGAAGGTGACCGAGGAGGACGCCTCTCACTTTGTGCCCAGCCTCAGGATGACATGCTTGTCGCCTCTACCGCCCACGGTCCTTGGGGAGAATGGGAAGGGTAGAGAGAGCGCTGGGGAAGCAAGCTGGTGCAGTGTGGCACATTGGCCCAGTGTCAGCAGCCAGCACGCCGGAGAGCAGGCGTCAGGACCTGCGGGCCTCCCTCCAGACCCTGGGATGTTCTCAATTTTTTTTTTTTTCTTTTTTTTTGGCGGAACCGGGGATTGAACTCAGGCCCTTGCGCTTACCAGGGAAGTGCTTATTCCACTGAGCCATCTCCCAGGCCCGGTGTTCTCAATTCTTATAGGGCGGGAGACCATTCTCCTTGTGCAGCACCCATTTCCCCATGGTTCCTCTCACCCATCCATCCACCCTCTGAGTTATCTACCCATCTCTCCATCTGCCCATCCACCTACTAATCCATCCATCCATCCACCTATCAACATATCCATCCATTCACTCATCTATTCATCTATCCCTCCTCCCACGTATCCTCTGACCTGCCCACTCATCCACATATCCTCTGAGCCACCTCTTGACCCATCCATCCATCCATCTATGCTCCTACTCATCAAATAATCCACCCATCTATCTATCCTTTCATCCCTTCTCCCATCCACCCACGTATTCACCCACCCATTCATCCATCCATCTTTTACCCTCCCACCCTTCCACCCATCCATCCATCCATCCATCCATCCACCCACCACTCATCCACCCATCCATCCACCTTCTCACCCATCCATCCACACATCCTTCCACCCTCCCACCCATCCACTCACCCACCCATCCATCCATTCACACCTCCATCCATACACCCACCCACTCATCCATCCACCCACACCCTCCCCTCCATCCATCCACCCACCCACCCATCCATCTACCCATCCATTCATCTACCCATTCATCCACACATCCTTCCATCCTCCCACCCATCCATCTACTCATCTATGCACCCATCCATCTATCCATCCATCCACACATCCATTCACACACCCATCCAGTCATCCATCCATCCATCCACCCATCCACACATCCATCCATCCATCCACCCTCCACCCTCCCATCCATCCATTCATTCATCTATTCGTCCACACATCCACCCTCCCACCCACCCATCCATCCATCTATCTATTCGTCCACACAGCCACACATCCATCCACACATCCATCCACACATCCATCCATCCATCCATCCATCCATCCATCCATCCATCCATCCATCCATTCGTCCACACATCCACACATCCGTCCACACCCCCACACATCCATCCACACATCCATCCATCCATTCATCCATCCACCCATCCACCTATCCACCTTCCACGCTCCCATCCATCCATCCATCCATCCATCCATCCATCCATTCATCCACACATCCACACATCCATCCACACATCCACACATCCATCCCTCCATGCAACAGGGTTTCACAGGCCCCCATCATTCGCCAGCACCGTGCTAAATTCTCATCACCATCTCTGGGTGATTCCCCAGCTGTCTTCATGTCCTCTAGGCTCAGCAGGGCTCAAGGGGGCTGGAACACCCCGGAAGTTGTCTCTTCCCTCGCCTTTGAGCGCCAGCCCACGTAGCCCATCATCCCCACAGCCTGCCCCACAGAGCCTCTCCCCACTTCAGAGCCACCCGACACTGTGGTCCCCTGAGTGCATCTCTGAGCTCCACCCACCCAGAAGACCGCCTCTTCCTCCCTCCCCTGGGCTGCACCTTTTCCTGCTGACCAGGCTGGAGAGATTTGAGAAGTGAGGCTGCTGAGTGGATGTTGATTTTGGAGACTTGAGGGTCTCCGTAAGGCCCCATCCCTTAAGGTTCTGTGCATGGAGAGCCACCTCGGCCAGCCAGGGTGTGGATTGATGCGGTAGCTTCCAATGGGGAGGAAGGCCCTCCTAGGGGGTCACCCTGTGCCTCCTGTGGGAAGGGCGATGTGGCTGAGGGGACAGCCATGCGAGGGGGAACAGCACAGTGCCTGATGCACCTGAAGACCACAGAGGTCGAGGGAGGGGACGTGGTAGGTCACTGTGTGGGCAGCTTGGCTTCATTCCCGGGATGACTCCAGAGTTGTGAAAGGGTGACATTCAGAGGAACAGTCTGATTTGATTTATTTTTATTTATTTTCCTTTAGTATTGTGGATGGAACTTAGGGGCTGCACTCGTGCTGAGCTCCAGCCCAGTTCATTTTTTATTTTGAGTTGACAGGGTCTTCCTAAGTTCCTAAGCTGTCCAGCCTGGGCTCTAATGTGCAATCCTCGTGCCTTGGCCTCCCAGAGTGCTGGGATGACGGGCATGCACCACCACGTCCAGCTCTGTGCCCTGTTCTGGCCCCATGACCAGGAGTGCGTGCTGCTCACTGCCACTGTCCCTTCTTCCAGAGCTGGTCCTCAGGCCACCCATGCCCTCTTCCTCGGCTCAGAGGACCTCATGGGGGCCTGAGCTGGCCCAGCAGCCTGGATCCTCTAATTGGAAGACACTCAAATGAGGTCACACAGGTGGCATGAGTCAGGACATGGCAGACACTGGGGGCCTCCTCACTGGCAGGACTGGGGGGGCTCAGTCAGGGGACTCTGCCCCAGGTGATACCTGGGGGCATGTGGTCCTCATGAGTCAGAGAGCTCCTGCCCTGCTGCACCTTGCAGTGCTGCGGGGGCCCCACCCCTGAGAACACCCCAACCCTAAATGGTGACAGAGTTGACAGGGAGACCCTGCTTAAGAGAATGAGGAGCAGAGAATCTTCTAGAA